TGATGATGATGATGATGATGATGATGATGATGATGATGATGATGATGGTGGTGGTGAATTTTGTCATTATTGCAGATGATTAACAGTCTAATGATTGATGATGTGGTGGATGATGTGACTCTTCGTTGCTTTGGATTGGATCCCTTCGACTCGCTCCACCTCCGTCGAGGCCACGTTGGGCGCGAAGACCGCGTTCATCAAAGGCGTCCGGCTTAGATGGCGCGGAGTATTCAGCATGGTCTTCACCTGGCACGAGTGTTCAGTTCAGTGTTCGGCCAGAAAAGTGAGGGGAAAAAATAGATGCAAATCGGTGTAAACGTTGTAAAACATATGGGGGTTGTCCAACAAAGCTCTTCTTTTTGAGCTTGGGCTTCCCAGTGTTCACCTCCTATGCTGAGACCGTCTGCTGGGACCCGTAATTACAATCCAATATCCCAACACCACCACTTCATTCCACCCTGCACCAACCAGCTCCACTCTCCGCACCTCCGCCTCTGAGAATTGCTCCGCCCAGCGCGCCAGCAGCAGCTCCAGGGTCTGTGCCACGCGTGGCTCCTGTCGCCAGCAGAGCCAGTCGATGCAGTTCCCCACTGACCCACTGCCGCCTGCACCGCTGAGGCTCCGAAAGTCGGCGCCATGCGAGACCAAGGTCTCAACAGCCTCACAAGTGGAGTGGGAGGATGGTGTTCTTTTTTTTGCCAGATCCTGCTTAACTAAGTAGCCCTCTCTTGCCTGAGGGCCGCGGGAGCTTCCTTGAAGAAGCGCTCGCGCTGATGATTTGGTTCCTAGACTTTATGACTCTAAATGATTGAGCTGGTGTTTTCCTTTCTTCATCAAAGGTCTTTAAAACATACTGCTACTACTGCAAGACTGTCAGAAATAAACCTTGTCATGCAAGACTGTCATGGCTTGATCTACCGGACCAAAGAAGATTCGCCCCACCGACCTCCACCGTCTCACCTGGCAATCGCCCGCGTAGGCTGCGTGGATCAGCAGGCTACATCGCCCCAGTTCTCCACAGTCCTGAAGAGGATCGACCCGGTCCGGCTACTCGCCATTTGGAGATGGAGAACCAACCGCCGAATGGAGCCAAGACTGGAGGTGTTGCTAAAGCAGGACTGCCAACTATGCCTTGAAATTCGACTTTCCATGAATTCCATTAGTTCTTTTTCCCCATTCCATCCTTCCCACTCACATCTTTGGGGTCCTCCTCAGGAAGCTCCTCAAGTCCACCAACCTCCTGCAGCGCCTCCAGCAGCGTGTCATGGCCCTTCCGCAGCGCGGACAACAGCCGCGAGGCCATTGCGCCAGCGGGGTGGAGACGATGTGACGCGTGTGATTGAGGGTGTCTGTAGTCTGTAGATTATCAGAATGTTTTACATATTAAATTAGAGAGAGAAAGAGTACCAAAAACCAATGGCAACATCCCTGAAACTGAGGGAAGTTACTGTTCTCGAAGATCAAATGGAATGGAACTGGAGGTTTTGCTGATTGTAGTTGTGGTCGCCAGAAGCGAAGATCGGGATAGCTGTTCAAGAGGCCTGTCACTGCGCTTTTCCATTGAACATCCTTCCACCTCCTTAAAGGTGGATCACGACCTCAGCCATCACAGCTTGACCTCATTGTTGGTTATGATGTGAGTGTATAGGCTGGGCTCTTGAAGCCTGAAATCCCTATCCAACTTCCTTTGCCTGGTCTCAAGCAATGACGCTGGGCCCCACAGTGGATGTCTCAGTAGAGATGGGAAGCCCGTCCTTACACAACCAGCTTTGTTTTGGTTACCCCGCGTGGCTCCCAGAATCGAGGTCCTGGATGGTATAAGGCAAGGCAGTTCAGTGGATTCTTGTTCGCGCAAAGAGTCCTGCATGATTGTAGGGTGAAATGACACAACCCATTGTGGACCTTGTAAGTGTTCCGCCCTGCAAAAAAGGCAGAACAATAACCTTCAGCAAGATCACGAAGCGTCCTCTCCTGACCTGCTCTTCCCTGCCGCCCCATTGGAGGGGAGGGCGGTTTCAGGTCACCACTATACTGACCGACACTCTGTCTGCCGACAGGGTTGAGGGAGATGCTGTTGAGAAAGAAAGGTTGCCTTTTTCATCCTTTTTCATAAAGAAGTCGTGAAGACATGGCGTGGGGTCGATGAACCTTGAAGCCAACTCTGATGTTCGGTTCCGCTCAGCCAAGATCCCCTGAAGCCTCCGACCCTTTTTTTGGAGATCTCGTCTCCCATAGCCCATAGCCTCACAGATGAGCCTCACACACGAGCCCCTGTGTTGTTTGTCATCCCCGAGTACTCAGCAGTTTACGCAAACCTTCCGGATTCTGCCCCAAGGGGTATGATATTTGATGGTAGCGGGAGCAGGGGTTCTTATTTGAAACCTGTCTGCAATGTGATCATCCGCATTCTGCCCTGGTCGGGGCATGATATTGGTCCGTGGTGTCCAAGCTTTTTCCAGTTTGACCGCCGGGCCATCTGTTCAGCTCTGTTCAGCTCTTCAGCTATTGCGTCTCGGCCTCGAGCATTGGAGCAGGAGGCGGACTTTCGTCCGAACTGGCTGGCTTTGCGATTTGCAATCTGAAGAGGCTAGCAGGTCCAACCAACGGCTCACAAATGGACTACTCTAGGCCCTATAGACTCCTCATGGGTCTCCATTGGACACTCCTTGGATGGTCCTGGTAGATTCAGTGTTGAGCACAGCAAGGCCTCCGACACTTTCGTACAATAGTCGTTTCATGTCATTTCTACATCCCGTCGATTTGCACCACGATTGTACGATTGAAAAAAAAAATATATATATAAACACCAAAAAAACTCAGTTTCCATCCATGCCCTTTCCGAACCATTTTGTGTCATTTCATGTCATGTGGAAAACAAAACAAGGATACACAACACAATTGAACCGAAGACACAAACATGTGGTTGCTTTCTATTCTCTTTTCTTCGTTCTCTTTCCTATCCCTTTCCGCCCTCACTTCACCTCGCCATACCTCGCCTCGGCGCCCACCAAGCCCTCGCGCTGCCGCTCCTCGACTCCCGTGTAACCGGCCAAAAGCCGCTCGCGCGCCTCGGCCGTCGCGTCTTCGCCGGGTGGCAACGGGCGTGAAAACCATCGGATAGAAATCCCAGACACTCCATGGGACTGCCATATATGCCTACATTGACCCCCAAAACCACCCCAATGTAGGCATATATGGCAGTCCCATGGAGTGTTTGGGAATGGATGATAGGTCGCTTTCTAGAGGCCACGTCCTTGGGATGGCACCTGCCCTCGAGGATGCGAACAGAGCAGAATGGTAGTAGGTAAACGCCTAAAGCAATTGGGATGTTGTGGGCCGAGGATGTTTTGGAGACATGTTCTCAAAACCTAGTCACAACCCTGGGAGAAAGATGTAAACCGGAAGCGAAGAAGTCTTCTCTACTCTAGTTCTGGCTGCTTAGCAAGCACAAAACACCAGGCTAAAACAGTAGATTTGACTCTGATTTGATCCCAAAACGACTTGTTGGTTAGAGGCTGAGGGTTTCTGGACAACTGCCTCCAGGATGCCTAAATCACAGGAAAAGTCTCTAACTGCCTAAAGGCTCTCCAAGTCTGGAATACTTCCAAGACATGCGGCTCCCATGGTGCTTCCTTCAAGACTGTCGAGCAGGACAGCCAGACGTTGCCACAGAGGAGGAAACCCAAAACAATCAATTATATAACTCATTGTGTATGTTTTCTCTTGCAATCCGAAATCAGATTGTCGCAACACACACCCCACGCATCGCAAGTCTTATTGGGCGCGTCTCAAAAGTGCCTCAAGGTCCGCGACGTAGTCTTCAAGCTCTCCAACCTTTGCAGGGTCGGTGTTGAAAACAAACGAGATTGCGGCGGTGAATGTGATGGAGAGGCAAAAGCTTGTGGTGGATGGACCAGATCTACACGGAAAAAAAACACAAGATGCACATCTGATAGCTCCTGGTCGCCTGTCCAATTTCACCGTTTGTTCTACCTACCACCCCCCCGACACAAGTCAACTGGAATGCCCAATTTCCATCAGTCGGAACAACCTGAAGACATCCGGAGCTTGGCTGTAACGCTGTCCAGACCAGGACGAGAAGGAGCTTCTCCACGGCTCCATCCGGAGCTTCTCCACTCCCCAGGGGGGTGGCCTCTGACCACCTCCACCCACCTCCACCACCCACGTGGCGTCTGACCTGTTTGGACCCTTCGCTGCATGGAATGGTGCTGCACACCCCACGGCACCGGAAGTCTGACCCTTCTGCTTGGCTCCGGACCGTCGTGCACTCCGCTAAGCTTTCATGTCCCACCCGCGAATAGGCGAGCCTCGGACCGGGAATCAGACACCGCAGTGCTCGGCGCTCGGATTCGGTGGTGCAAAACAGTCCATACACCAGTTGTACAGGAACCCAAGCAAAGGCAAGGAAAGACCCACCCAAATCCATGAAAACTCATGACCCGTAACCGTAACCCCCAAGCCTACGAAATCCAGAGTCGACAAACCATGTAATGAAAAAAAAGTGAACGCCTAGTCAAAACCAGCACAAATGAGTATGACTGAGTACTATAAAGAAACTTACCAACCGAGTCGAAACAAAAACTCCGAGTCGATTTCGACTGAACGCCCTCCAGGCCGCGTGCACCGCTCACAGCGCTCCTCTGCCCGGCGCCGGTCCACCGCCGTGACTGGGTCGCCGCGGCACCTGACGCAGCCGCGTCCACCGCGTCCACGCGTGGGGCGATCCAACGAGACGAGGAATAGACGGAGACGCCATTGAATCTTGAAACGTCAAGTGCTTGGAGCTGATTTGGGTGGGTAAGGTATGATCAGGTGGGTATGGTAAGGTGGGTAATCTGGGTAAGGTATGGTAAGGTGACATTTGGGGTTGGTTGAGAGTTTCTTGACAGTGGGAGACTACGAGAGGTTGAAACGTGACAGTGGCTACGTATTGTGTTGCCAAGTGAGCACAATGGGTCGACATAATAAGCTAGGCTAAGCTAGGTTGGAAAAAATGACCAAATGCAACACGCCACCACCTGCAATCACTTGTTCACTACACAAATTGAAAGCTGAGGCAGAGCTGCTGGAGGGTGCGTGAGAACCAGTGTGAAAACCAAAGCAAATGCTGAGACTAGGAAACCCCGCGGTTGCCTTCCTTGTTTGGCCGAGTCTGGAACCACTGTGCTGAGTGTCTTTAGGATGGTCAAACCCCCCAAACGACAATAGGTGAGACCCCAATTGTTCTTTGTCCCATGTCACACCATCATCATCTGTCCTGCCCTGTTTCTTCTCCTTCTGGTCATGGCTGGTCATCCCTATTACCCACATCTTCCAACATCTTCAAACTAATAGAGTATATAGACACCCCCAAATAGATGGAAGTAGGTCAGATCCCCGACCCAAAATGCATTGAAAACCGTGCCATCTATTTGGGGACCACTAGACTATATACTTCTCTCGTCTCTCAACCAACTGTTTCTCCACGTGAATCACCAGCCCAATGGGCAGATCCCAACCTCGGTCTCAGCTCCGCTGCCGCTGGCGCTGGCGCTCGGCGGCGGCAGAGCTGGTGCCCCATGGCCGGGCAGCAGGGTGATGGCGGCCCAACACAAAAAGGCCGATGGGTGGAGAGCCAATCGGGTGGGGTGAGTCTCAAAAGTTCATGCTTGAAAAACTTGTAACTTGGTGCTTCATTCACATGCCTTTTTAAAGATCAGATTTTGCACTGTGGACGTGTTGAGTGGTTTTGATGTCCTGTCTGATTAGTGAAGTGGGGGTCTATGGTCGCCTTTTCTACGCGTGGGAAGCCTTCCTTCGAAAGTGTTAGACACAGAAACAGTCAGAGCCACCGGTTTTCTGAAACAGTCCTTGTTGGTCCAGGAAGGTGGTCTTCCAAGGGACCATGTCATCCACTTCCATGGAAGGTGAGTCAGAGGGTCAACTCCTCACAGCTTGGGATCCTGCTTGGGATTCATGACCATCCTCCTATCATGTTTGAGCCAATACGGCTGGTGGCCTCTCAAGTCCTGATGGATATGTTAGCTTAATTTAAAGAAAACACATGAAAAAACTGAATTTGAATTGAAGCAAGTTCGAAGTGAGAACAAGTCTTTCTGCTTCGCCCCGTTCTCTTCCATCTGTGGTTTTCACTGCTCTGGTGGTGTGAGTCACTGATCATCGGAACGAGATGGCCAATATCCAAGCTCCAAAGAAAGTCTCCTCCTCAGGAGTTTTGCATATCCATCTCTGAGAAAACAAAAAACATTCAAGGACCTATGTACTCAGCACTCAACACCAATGATGATTGAATGCCTCACGATCCACGTAAAGGATAGCCTT